CTGTGATATTCTGCCTTTTTTTGCATTACTATAACAACGCTGTGTTATAAATAAGTTACCAGATTATGCAACTGAATAATTTCATGCCAATTTATTTCCGTGTTTATAAATAAACAGCGACTAAAACTGATCAATTGTTATGTAGGAAATGACTGGAACAAGCTCTGCATCAATATTTCATACAGTAATTAGATCACAGAGGAGGCCGGGATGGAAACATTTGTCCCTCGCTGACCGTCACTGTGTGAGAAAATGGGTCACAGACCTTTATCACTGCTGCATGACACGATCAAGGGCTCAGTGTGCTGTTTTTTTTATAATGCACCACAATAAATAGGAAGTATTACCCCGAGTGACAGGATGAAAAAGAAACGAGAAAGAGAGCAAAAATATGAGCTGCACAAGATATATAATGAGATATGGCCGGGACAATGCTGATTTAATCGGAATCTGCACCAGTGGACAATTTGGGCGAGTCAACACAAGCAGCAGGATTCATCCTCTGAAGATCATGAATGATTTTTTTCAGTAGCTAAATCACCAAATGTTAAAATGCTTCTTGCCATTTCTTTAAGTAGTCTTCAGGAATAGTTCTCCAGGCTTCTTCAGGCAGTCAAAGCTCTTCTTTGCTGGCTGTCTTTTGTTCTGTTCTCTGTGAGGATAATCACACTGCTTCAAATATTGTTCAGGTTCAGGCTCTGGGGAGGCCGATCTTCAGCCCCTGCTGTGCTTTACAGACGACTGTAGACACTCACTGTTGTATCTCCGCGGTCAGGTGAGACCAAGACGACAGGTCACGACAACTCGAACAGAAACTCTCACATTTTTCTAATTTGGATTTATCACTAACACCTGTTTCCACTGATTTCATGAGTTAATAATTAAATAAATATAAGTAGTAGGTCCAAAACAGGTTTCTATGCAGCTACACAAATTATGTTTTTTTAAAAATATACAAAAAATCTACATTTTTAAATATTGTAACTATAAAATCTTGCTTTATAAACACATTTGAGTACATTTTTCTCCATTAATGCAAACTCCTCTACAGTAGATCCCACTTGATCCTGTGTTTTTGTGTTTATAAAAGCTCACAAGTCTGCAGATCATGTTCTAGTGCATCTTTGTGCAGTCCCTCCTGGCAGGACTGCAGCTCTGCTGACCTCTGACCTTTAGCACATGAATTATCTGCTGCTAATTTCATTACTGGAAACCGATCCATTATCTTTTCATCTTTCTGAAATAAATCTTGAAACACATCTACCGTAGAAACGGCTCAGACATCGACAAATGCAGTTATTGATCAGATTAAATCCATTTGTGCTGCTGCTTTGACAGCAGCCTTTGTGTAAGAGGTTTATTTGCACCAACGAGCGACAGCACAGCTTTACTCTTTTCAGCCTCTAATCTAATCATCGCTACTTTTGTCCTCTCCCTCTCGTTCTGTTTTAGTCCCACCAGGATTAAAGGGTTAAAAGAAAAGAACAGAGGCTTCTTCAGAGCAAATACACTCAAATAAAAGCAGTTTAGTGTTGGTATACAAGTAAAACATCATAACAAATATATCAGACTGTATTTGTACATAGAAATACAGTCTGATGTTGAAGTTCTGTAGGTGGTGAAGTACACCACCTACATGGGGATGGAGTGAAGTTTCAGAAAAAAAGCATCAGTTCTTTATTTTGATTTATTCTGTCAGTTATACAGCAGCTTTCTAAAAATCAAGTCTATACTTACGTTTAATTTTTACATTAATCTTACACAAAAAACAGCTTTAAATTTTACCTAATGAGAATCATGAAATGAGACGAGCAATTAAGTCATTTCTCGTCTCATTTGTCCTTTAATTTAACAAAAACCTGTTTAAAGTAAACAAAATCTCAGTTATTTCAGTCTTGAAAATGCAAACCCTGACTTGGCTTCCTTGGCCATCGTTATCCTGCCTAATCAGAGGCCTGAAACGCCCTCTCGTCTCACTCTGATCGTGATGCGTGACGCCTCGTCTCGTGCAGCTTCCCCCGCTCTCTGGCAGCGAGGTTTCGGGCCTGGATATTTGCCGGCTCAGGAGGGCAGAAGACAAGCTGATTATCGGGCGGATTTCCAGCAGCTCAGAGCTGCTATTCCCGGTCTCAGCTGAGAATTAGACCCTCTGGAGCAGCTGCTGCTGCTGGTCTGCAGCTGGGTCGATCGGCTGAATGTTGAGGCATCATTTCAGCTTCGATTACATGAGCCAGTGCTCTGAAAGCTGAGTAAAAAAACCCCAATTTTTTCCCCATTTGAGAACAAAATTAAGCACATACCCAAAATAATTAATAAGTATTTTATAAAATGTTTTAGCTTTAAACGGGAAAAACATTTTCACAATATTATGGATGTAAAGAAGAAGGCTAATGTTGTGGTTTTCAACTGGTCCTGGAATATTTCCATAAGAACAGCTCTGAAAAGAAAAGTTTAGCACAGTTCATTCATTAATATGATGGTTTAAATGTATAGAAATCATAAAAGTATGCTGACTTTGGTAAACAGAGGCTTCACCCTTGCTGCTACAAACACATACATCATCTTCTGAGACGAATTTTCAACTCTGAAAGCCAAAAAAGTCTCAAGAGTTTGGAATACAGTGATGTGCAAGCAAGCCTCAAGTATACATTAGTATCAAGAAACATACAAATACGATATCAGAATTTCACCGACCAACACTAGGACGTTTAATCAAGTCAATCTTTGCCAGACAATTCACCTGAAAACGCACAAGAACGAGTCATGTCCAGTTCAGTGAGTCCGGCTGTCCTTGGAGAAACACGCCTAATAACCTGAACTTATAAAAGAACATAAAGTGGTGACTTAGAAAAAGAATCGCCCCTGTGCACCTGAGAATGAAACTCTCTTTTTGGCGTCTTAGATACCAACTGTTTGCAAGGACTTGGGAACAAATGTTCGATCTTGAATTTGCATTTAAGACAGAAAACTGAGAAATAGTAAGTTAAAAAAAAGACAACACTGCACCATCAGCACCAAGCAGCTTCCCTTCTCAGACTCCATCACATTTTACAGAATGAATCAGCTTCTAACACCCACCTTTTCAGCAGGCAGCATTACTCACTTCCTCTACCTTCACACTCCCATCTGATATGGCATGTAAACCTTATATCACCAAGTGCAATGCCAGGCGTCAGATGCAGCGGTATAAAGCAGGCAACCTGTACGGGAAATCTTAATACTCGACCTTAAAAAGACTTTTGATAATTCGATGCTCCGGCCTTGTGGGAAGAGTTTGAAGAAAGCCCTTTCCTGTGCCAGCATGATTGTGTCCTCGTGTACAAAGCAAGGCCCATAAAAGCGTGGGTGGATGAGTTTGGTGTGGAAGAACTTGACTGGCCCACAAAGAGCCCCGACCTCAACCTCATTGAACACCTCTGGGATGAACTAGAATGGAGATTGTGAGCCAGGCCCTGTTATCCAATATCAATGTCTGACCTGATTCTGGATGAATGGTAAAATCCCCACAGACGTACTCCAAAATCTTGTAGAAAGCCTTCCCAGAAGAGTGGAAGCTATTTTAACTGCAAATGGGAAAGGAACCTGTATAAATGCCAATGAATTTAGAACAGGATGTCATAAAAGGACCGATAGGTGTAATGTGCAGGGGGCCACATGCTGTTGTCTATATAGTGGTACCTTAACTTATCAAACTATAACATCCAGTACTTTTAATAAAGCACAAGTTTATAGGCCAAGTTTATACTGTTAACCCCCATCTGTTAACATTCTGTCACACCAACTTTTTGAATCACTGATTACAAAATGAAGTGGCTTTCGATTTCAAGAATGATCATCAAGATCTACACCACCAATTCTGGCACATAGAAAACATAAACGACTGAAGTTTTTACTAAACCGTTTTCAGAAAAGGATTAGGTAATTTGAATTGGATGGCAGCAATGTCCCAAAAAAGTTGGATAGGGACATGTTTACCACTGTGTAAAGTCCCCAGAAATGTTTTCCACATTTTAATGAGCTGAGTCATTTCCTGATCATCTTCACATATGGCTTATTCTTTGCATGACGAAGCTTTAACCTGCACTTGTGGATAGCACAGTGAACCGTGACAGAATCATGACTGCTTTTACTTCAGTGCCGCTGGGCCTGCAGGGCATTCACTGGTTTTTGGCCCCAAGCCTTGCACACAGAGATTTCCCCAGAGTCTCTGAATCCGTAAATATTGTGTACTGTACTGCAGATAATGACATATTGAAACTGTTTAAGATTTTATGCTGACAAACTTCATTCTGCTGTGGTTCCACAAAATGTAGATGCACTTTTTGGAATATTGGTGAACCTCTGCCTCCAAGGTGCTCTTTTCATACTAATCATATTACTGACCTGTTTCTCTAACCGTTTCCTTTTAGTATCCCTTAGTTGTCCAGGTTTTTGTTGCCCCATCCCAATTTAAAGATGAGTTGCTGTCTAATTCAAAATGAGCTAGTATTTTTCAGGAAAAGGTAAAATGTTTAGTTCACATTTTAGCATTCTAACGTTTTTGAAAGTGGGGCTGTACCTTCTGCACAGAGCATTTGTTTGGAGACACTATTCGGCTAATGCTTCGGAAAAAAACAAAAAGCCCTTTATAAGATGATAAATGAGAACACCCAGAGCTCAAATTAAATACAGCAGTAATGATTTCCTGCTACACCGGATCTCTCCTTTCAAACAGGGGAGGGGGAAACCTCAATGGATGCATTTGACGGAGCAATCACTCAGGGTGTTTATGACAGGTGGAGGTGTCTGTGTGGAGGAAGGTCTGCAGACAGATTTTTTTCCTTGTATAGGAGACTTAACAAACAGATGGAATCTGCAGTTTAACAGGAACATACACGGTTTATGTTTAAAATGTAACAAATGTGTGGTTTCATGCTGTTAAATCAAACTTCAAAGCTTCTCTGCTTCAAAACAGAAATATGACACAAATATTGTCCCAAAATCATTGTATTTATTGAAAATAATAAAGCTCCTTCTTCCCCAACAAATAAAAGCAGAGGTTATCTGTAACGCTTATGAAAGGGAGAGCCAAATAATCAGCTATAATCTCAGAGTTATAAATCTTAATCTTCTCAAATGAAATTGCTCTTCAATTCATTTTCAGTGCTGCTTGATGAAGCATCGAACCGGTGCCAACTGACGAAGCACAAAATTATGTAACGCACAAAACTGTAAATCCTCCCGGCGCTGCAGTACCAGGCAGGGATGGGAGGAGCCTGGTACTCCTGCTGGATTACCCGAGCCTTAGGAATGACACCAGAGTGAGGTGGATTATAAACTCTGTTCCAGAGAAATCCCTCTCACTCCAAGCTTTAGGTTCTTGGTTTGGTAGCAAAAGTAAGGTACCCCGTGTGGCCGGGCATTTCTCTGGGCAGCGTGGTGGTCTTCAGTGAGATGGAGGCGTGGTTCGGAGGAGCAGCGGGAGTCGCCTCCTCTGTGGTTTCGGGATCGGGGCCGAAATCTGGCAGCGGTAGAGAGACAGTTCGGACATCGTACTCTCTCAGCAGCACCTCCGTGGTGCTGATGTCTTCGAAGCCCCGATCCTGCAACGCCTCGCATGTTTTCTGAACTTGCTCTATGCATGGAGAGAAGGAGCACAGCCGACCACCTGCAGGAGACGCAGAACAGAAAACAAACCACAAGTAAACACGAAGCTCCCAAAAAAGTATCAAGACCATGTGTGACCATAATCGTTTAAGCGCTCTTTGTTGTCAACTTATGCCAGTATTGGTCAGCTCATGTTATTTAGAGAGGTCTTAAAAGGTAATGCAACATAATCGCTGCTTTGAAAATAATCATGACATCACTTCCTGTCTAGCTTCTAAAACACTACTTTCAGTAACCAACTGCAATCTCCTGTGCAGCTGAACAAGTGCGTCTGCTACCGTAACTTGTTTTTCCCGATATATATAAAACT